CTCCTCCTCTCGCCCCTCTCGCGTACAATCGCGTCGTTCCTCAATGACTGTGCGAGCACCGAGCGCGACGACGCGACCCAACGAAGCGAAAGTCTGAAAGAATATATAAGCCTGAGGAATGTATTCGCGAGAGAGAGAAATTTTTTCGAATGCTGGCGATATCTCCTCGACATTTGTTCCGTTCGGATTTGTAACAATTGCTTCTTTTGCAGCGTAACGTCGTTGGCGATAATGGTCGTTGCAGCGACGACTGTCCAATGAAACGATCCTAAGCCGTTAAATGCTAAATTATCTAGTGGGAAGATTCATTGATGAAGTTTTTGAATAGCGATAACTACTTTCGAACTACAACGAATGTAACGTAATTTCATCAGCGCACTACGAGACAGCAATAATCCTATCTCGAGCAATAAGTTCGGTATAGCAATAGATGCAGTTCTGTTTTGTTTGTCTTTGATTCACAACTTCCTTGTAGTTCATAACTTTGAACTTACTTGACGTACATTTATTTTTCATTCGTAACTTAATTAAATCATCCGACTGCCAAATATAGAAAAAAAAGATGTATCTTTTTTCGAAATTTAAAAGCTATTTTAAGGTGACAGCTTACTCGAGAAGCTTAAAAAGATCCTCGAAAATTTTTTTACATTTTATAAAAATTTTGGATAATTATGAGACTCGTATAGACGATAGAATGAATCTCTTAAAAAAAAAAATCATGCTCTCTCTCGGTGCCCGCACGTCCTATTCATCGAATCCCGTCGTTCATCCTAGATCCCTTAGTTTCTCCAGACATTCCCGCCATCGACTCGATCCCGTCAAGTAGATTCTAAGCAGAGACAGTATTTGAATGGGGTTATTGGAGGACGAAAGAATTATCGTTAAGTAACTGTATTGAGTAGCGCGCGAGCGCGCGTCGCGTGTGTGCAGTGGCAAAAGAAAAAAAAAATACACAGACAGGCAGCCTAATTATGCGAGTGTACACGTCGATGAGGCGCGATCGATCATTTATTTCAAGGACCAAGAAAGAAATATCGTCCTTCTAATTTAAATACAATTGAAATAACAGAGATTTCTTATTATTTTTGAGATAGTGAATCAATCAATTTCGTTTGCAGGAAAATTTTTGCCATCGTTAAATATCGAATTCACTCGACTGTTTGAATTAAAAATTATTCTAAATCGATTTTAACTAGTACTTAACTGTATACTTGAACTGACATACTGATCAAGTTTGCACTTTTGTGGTGCGTGCAAATTTGATTAAAAAGAAAAGAAAAATCCGCGATGGCGATTGATCGCCGTACATCGACGAGGCTCGAAGACTCTTCCATTCGCTCGACCCGTGCACCTCGATCGTTTTATGTAATAGCTTTGAGAAGCAGTACATGTTGCGCGTTCAAAACGCGTTGGCCGGAAAATATATGACAGAGAGTAGCGGAATCTAAAATTCTCTGAGGGTTGAAAAAATGCAGAGATTGAAACCGATATCTCGTTGTCGACATCTTACAAAGCTTGGGAAGGTATTTAGAAGAGATATCTAAAACAGATATCTAAAACAGATTCGAAAGATCTCAGTATTTCTTCTATAAATACCTCACGACTCTTTTAAAATATCTTTATAACATCTTTTAAACAATCTGCTTGAGTTGTACATTTTTAATAACATAATTTTTCGATAGACACATGAAAATATTTACTCAAATTAATTTATATTATAAAAAATTATAATTCACAAACTTAGACAAGAGATTAAAAGAGTTAATAAAATATCTTTCTTCTATACTTGCAATATTGGCAATCTAACTCATTCGGCAATTATATCGGTTTCGATTTTTACGTGAGATCTAAAACGAATGAACAAATCAGGAAACAGAATCCGCGTGACTGTCGCTCAAGAGAAACGCTCACGATGATTTCATTTGCGATCGACTTCAATCGTACTTATATTTAACGAACGGTATTGAAGATGTATGACGAGACGCGCGAGTAACAAAAAGTCGATAAATGTTCGAGCAGACAAGCAATTTATTTAAAAAGACAAAAAGAAATGAGGAACACGCGACTGTTCGAAGAAGAGAAACTAAAAATAACGATACGTTCCTTAAGTCCATTCCAATGCAATTGTCGCGATTAATATAATTAATATTAAAGGATTTGGCTCAAAGTCATTTGTCGTCGTTAAATTAGATTAGGTCTGTATGCTTGCTTAGTTCGTGCGTATAATCCCCCCTTCAAAAAAAAAAAATTGGCGTTATAATCGAAGGCAATCAAGTTCGAATATCCCATTTGTAATACGGGTGAATTTTATCATCTAAGTACGTACTTACGGAATCTTTTAAAAAAGATCTCATATTTTACATTACATTTTCTCGCTGCCGGGAGGTCGCTCTTCAATGACCTCCGGTCGCGGAATGGAAACAGGACGTTATATGCTCATCCCACATATCCCCAACTTTTTCTGAGCACTGCCTAATCGTGCACAAAGGTACACTTCGTAAGAAGCGGGGTACTATAGGGCCGAGCGCGAGCAAACTCGTACATAATTGACACAATCGAATTCCGTTCAGTTGAAAGGGATAAAAGACAGATGAGGAAAAAAAGAACGAAGAGAGAAAAACGGTAAAGTCCGCTTCACATCTTACGAAAGACAATAAAGAACACCTCCCGTTTCTGATAAATCAGCTCTTTCGTGAAACATTGGCCCTATAAATAACTATTTTTATTTATTTGAAAAGATTAGTTTAAAATTAAATATTACGTAAGTTATTAAATTAAAATTATGCAATTTATTAAAATTAAACGAAAACGGTGCAATAACGAAATCTATTTTTCTATTCATTCTACTAAAAAGTTTCTTTTCCTAGATTTTTAGGGTGCGAAAAAGGCATCGATTGCAATCGAGAACAATATCCTCTGCACAGAGGAAATCGAATAAAGGTTATTTTGTTAGAATATATCGCGATGCAAAAGAATGAAGTGTCAAGTCAAGACGCAAAGACTTAAAAACATAATTTATTGAATTTATTCTCTCAATTTAGAGGAATTTAACGTTTAGGAGGGGTGTTCTTTTCAATGTCCTGGATCACAGTGTTCTTTCACAGCGAAATTAACGCTCGTAAAACGTAAGATTTATTACAAAGAGAGACAACTTTATCTGTCGGTCGACGAGACGAAAGATACGAGAAGAAGATCACTGTAAGATATACATATTATAATGTAACGCTGCCACTGAACACATCCCGTTAGTACAATTACCATATATAATAAATAATAATAATATTAATAATCCGCAGTATACTGGGACACACCGTATTATTAATTGAATTGATATTTATTAACGATTATAATTATTATATTATTACCACTATATTATCTATACCATTTGTACTTTACACTTCAGTTCGAACGAAATAAATGCCTTCTTTTTCATAAAACCGTCGACGAGATGACAAAGGCGTACGTTTCATTCTTCCATCGAATTATATTACCACCCTTCGCCAGTTGTCGAAACACCAACATCGGTGTACCACATTTTTTGTTATAAATATTCGTACAAAGATTTAGAATTTTTAAATAAGTCTAATTCTTCCGTCTCGCGAATTTCTGATCTTCGGTATTCAATTCAAACGCTACCTCTGGCGATTGTTCGCGCGATTCTTGCTACGGCCATTTCTGCGATTGATATAACGATATTTATTCTCCTTGTTCTTAATTTCTGGAAACTCGCTGCGTATACGTTGCCAAAATTTCGTTCCCAAGTGCGACAGGAAATGCGTTACTCCCTTATCCCTGAATTTTCAATTAATTTACATTACATAAAAGCGGCATCAGCTTAACTCAGTCGTTTTTTTTTTTAAGATTCATATTCTATTATTATTTGCAAAAATATTTTGCAAACAATAATAGAATATGGTAATAAGAATAAAAATAGTAATAAGATGTAATTATTATGAACTCACGTTAGATCTTTGCAATCGACAGTTCTTGTAACGTGGAGAGTAGTCAGAAAAATCATTGCCGCTATTCCATTTGTGAGAATCATCAAAAATGATTTAAGTGTACTAAATGAACGAAGTATTTCAACGGAGTTTCCTAATTTCATTTGACTAAGCATCTGCTCGCGTTAGTTTTCGGTAAGTATAAAATTTGACATAAATAAATTAATGATTACAATTATTCGAATGTGCTATTATAATATAAAAATTAAAATAGATTGGTAAACTGCGTTACGGGATAAATTTTCTTTGGTAACGTGCGTAAGATGAGTACGTCTATCGGCGTCCATATGCATGCGATGGCAAATTCCAGGAAGAACGCGGTTACTAGAAACTGCAGTTAAAAATAGAAAGAGCAAGGAAAGATAGTAACATAGCAACACATAAAGGAAAAGAAGTGATCAACTAGCACATTTAGCGGCACACTAACCTCATACAAACACATAAAAACAGGTTTCGGTTCTCGGAAAGACGGTGGGAATAGCGTGGAATTGACAATTATAATGTAGACACTTGTCGCAATTAAGAAAGAAGTAATTGGCGGACTTGATATCAGAGGATAACCATATTCGTCTTCCATAGCGTCAGCAAAACACGTTTGAAAAATCGGAATTTTTAAAGTGTTGAGCATCAATGCCCATATCGTACACGATAATCGAGCCATTTTGGAGAACGATACTAAATAATCGCAATTTAGCCATTCAGATTTAATTTATAGATTGTCACCAATTATGAGAGGAAAAGAAATGTTTTTAATGACATTTGCAATGAAGTTGGTCTAGTAACTTCCAATTTGTCAAGTCGAATGTATAAAAGTTTTCTAAAATAATAATTTTTATCAAAATTTAAAAGCGCGAAAATATATATTCGCCTAAAAAAATATAATATAATACAGTAGATCCATAAAATATAATAGTAAACTCATGAAACAATACTTCAAATTCGTAGTATGATTTTTTTATAAATTCTATTTCACCTCAAAATTAAATCAATAAAATAAAAACTCTAAATTTCTGTAAATATTTATGTAATGCAAAATGCAATGTAGATGATTAACACAATGGTAATTTTAGAAAATATTACAAGCATAAATATTTATTAAACACAAAGACATATACAATATAAAAATGTAACAGATTAGGAGAAATTATAACTTTAAAAATTTTATAGGGTTCATTTGACAGAGTTTATAAAAAAATGATTGAGTCACTTCAGGTTGAAGGTAACCCTCTTGTTTTTGCGTTTAGGATGTCTTATCTTCGTGAACTCTAAACGTCTTCCGAAAAACAAAATGAGTTATTATTAGATCATAGTTCAAGCTTTTAAACTTAAATTAATTAAAAAACTTTAAATTTAATTAAATATTATATTAATTTTATTTTTACGTAAAGATTAAATTAAATTTTAAAAACACGAGTCTTTAGTAATCATTACAAAGTTCGTAATCGATATTTTGCAAAGATCATTTGAATAAATCATTCTGCTGAGAGCAGAGATTGTAACGAGATAGTTGCACTCATTATAAACGTATTAAAAAATTTAAATTTTATGTGGCATTGAAAATTTCGATAAAATCAGCATCAATAAAAAATTTCTTTTCATTAGAATTTATATATGTTTACGAATGTAGATAAGTTGCTTTGTAATTTTATTACATGTCGGACAATTTTGCGGATAAGATTTGAAGATTTTTCAGGATTCACTACTTGCTCCACGTGTCCAGAAACGTGTCCAGAGATTCGGTGGCGTCCAGCATCCACACGAACGACAATAACGACATGCAGAATGCCATGTACGTGGCAGCGTAATCTCTAGCCATGTAGTCCGCGAAAAAGATTAACCAAGAGTAGCTATCCAGACCCACAGCATTGTTCAACCATGACAACTAAAATATTATATAAATCGAAAAACGAGAATATTTCGAATTTTGTAACTTCCATACATCAAAAGTTCCGTTTCTCGTGTTTCACGTGATTTAATGAATAAAATCTGTTAATAATTTTTCGAAAAAATTTGAGCTAAAAAATTAAATAAAATAAAAATTCATTTAAAAAAATTATGGCAACGCGTTATATTTTTGTTTAGTGAAAATGCTACATACCCACTTGCTGGATTCTTGAGTTAGACAGAAAATTGCATGCATCATCGGTATCCATACCATATGGATCGCTAAGTTCGTGCTCAATGCAGCTATTAACATCTACACGGTAAAATTTAATTTCGAAATAATATTATTGTTCAATTTAATATTACTGCTGCTCGTATCGATAAAATTCTTGTTCGAGTAATTATCTTAATCCGATTCTTACTTTACACTTTATATTTTATTCTTCTACATTACTTAGCCAAAAAAAAATAATACATGAAAATATTATTTTTGTTTTTTTACTTATATTAGCTTTAAGAAAATTTTTAAATGACATCAGTAAGGCTCACTTCGTAAATGTATAACAGCTGAATCGGTGGTTCTTTAAGAGTTATAGGCCATAGTCTGTATTCCGCTAATAGGCACAAAACCGAGAACACAAAGAGTATCGATGCGTATGACGGATCGAAAGGCAAAGCGCTCTCCTCCTCGAAACACAGACCAATTATGCAAATTTGTCGCAGATGCGTATATAATCCTGTCGCCACTACGGCAATCCAGTGAGGATCTATGAAATTTGCGTAGTATTTCACAGTTTCCATCTCGAGTTAACACACACTTTTTCTTTACGAAAAACTTTTTTAAAGAAATTCCGTTGCCTATTTTGTGTGCCTTTTCCTCACAATTATTTCACTACGATTTCAGATCAAAGTCGCAAGATGGATAGGCTAAACCTAAAGAAAACACTTTTAAGAAAAACATTATTCCGTAAAAAACCAATTTTCCTTTTTCTGTAAAGTGTTTGCTTTTAATTAATCTGTTTATTATATGTATAGTTGGATATAATACGAATAAAAAAAAAATATTCTACGTATTGATTAATAGATAAGTGAATAAGATGAACAATATTAACATAGATTGTTTATCGCTATTATTAAATTAATTTATTGTAAAACATACCTCGCATTGTGATGAAAACGATGTTATAAAAGAGTGGTGATTTTATAGAGTTACGTAGTTTTTTAGATTAAATGCGAATATCTTTGGTTAATATTTCATTTTTAACATCGGCGATAATGACAGATGCACGAATGACAGATACACGAATACTTGATATCTTGTATGGTCTTGTACCTTTTCATCAGCGTTAAATGTCGATACAGATAATTGTGACTCTCGCTCGAACTGTTAATTTATCATTGCACTATTATTATCGCGATGTCCACGTATCGAGTACTTAGGTTATAAAACTATTCTATCATGCTGCAAACATCAAGACGTTCATGCATCTGTTTTACAAAGTATTTACCTTTATGAATCTAGTACTTCCACTAAAAGAAAGTTCGGCACTATGTGCTGTTGTGGCACTATGTGCCACAATTAAGCACTCATTTATTGTTAATTTATTGCTCCTATTTTCCATTCGCAGTTAATAAATAAATTAAATATTAAATAAATATATTAAATTAAATAAATTTAATACTATGAATTAAAATTAATCGTGTTGATGATTTAATAAATTCACCGTGATGTTAACTAAATTATCTTTGCTATCAGAACAAAAAATTTAATTTTTTAATTGCCAGATTTATTTTAGACTCTAATTAAATATCCAGTTAATTCTATTTCTTCTAAATAAACTTTAGCTTGTACTCTAAAATACATGTTAATCCCCAATGTAATCCATTAATGAATGTAGTGACCTATAATTATTGAAAATATTGGATAAATATAGCTTGCAAATTCCAATATGAATTAAATGTTCTAATCATCATTTTTTTACATTTTCTCTTCTTTCACCGACATCAGTGCTCTTAACTCGGAATATCAGTATACAACAAGTCGATTTTATTATTCAACGCCATTCGTTCTCTTAGGAGCTGGGAAGCTATCGCTAAATGCAATGCATTATGTATGAAAGCGAAATACGAGTCCCATTGTTTCGGAAAGGATAAATCCAGCTATCAGATGAAAGTGGCGGCTGTTGCGAAGAAAAACGACCGCTTCTCTTCATTAAAGTGTTAAAGTGTTAGACCATAGAATAGCAGTAGAAATATCGTTATACATATGTATCTGATGTACGAAAATATCGTTCGTCACGGAATAAACTTGTGCTTATCTTAACATATTAGTATAATTTTAATATAATTCTCTATGTATTTCTGTTGCATTGTCTTTTATATAAAATCTTTAACATAAAAATATAAAACTTTACTGCAATTCTTTTATCACGTCGTAATTACAATTGTAAATTGTTTAAATTTTAAAATACTGTTTTAATCAGAATTATTTTTAATTAATGTGACACTATTAGAAGTAAATGCTATTTAAAAACGCGGCTGTAGTATAAAAATTATAGAGAAAGAGCATATTTCTGCACTTTTCCTAAAAAAAAATAAAATGTCTTTTTAAAAAAAGAATTGCCCTGGCATTTTTAATTTCTGATGCGCTTACAGATTTTTTGCATTAACTTCATTTAATAAAATTTTAATCTTTTTAAAGTATATAAGCGTTAATATTTATCCGGAAGAAATTAACGATCTCCACTTCAAATGAAGAATGAAGAGGATTAGACGAGAATAAATCAATCGAGAGATTGAAAAGAAAGGAGACGCGGACAAGAGTATTCCATTAACTGGCAACACGTGGAGTTCTGGGTCACATCAAAGTACTTGTTACCGTGATTCAAAAGGGTAACTCGTGAGAGAATTAAGGAATTTCTTCTAATTATACTTGCGGCAAATCGCTTCGTAATTTATCTTCTCTTAAAAAAAAAAAAAAAAAACAGAGACGAAAAAATGTGACGTACGGATGCAACGTAAGTGGCAAAGTACCCATATTACAATTCTGACAATAGCTGAGGATTCAACGTTGAAGCTCGTCACTTCCACAGAACACGGTACGGTTGAATAACTTCGGACAGAGCTGGCACTCGACTAGGTAAAGAGCACCAGGAAATTGCCGTCTCTTCAATCTGTCCTGTCTTTTGTCCCCGTTCCTTATGCGGTTGACAATTTCGCTACGTAAATGCGTATTACAGTTAAGGGTGACAAGATCATCATTGAGAAAGTAGAAAAAGTAGTAGTAAAGTTATAATTTCCCACAAAAGAACAAAAAAGTCTACATCTAGATAAAATTAAAGTCGAATTCTTTCTAAGATTAACTTTTTCTTCTAAATAAACATTTCTCCTTAACAAAGATAGAGATACTTTTAACATCATTCTCCGTTTGTAAAATAGATTTTATAGCATAATATAATGTTGTAAGGGCTCTAAATAAAATTTTCTGATAACACTATAATAAAGTGTAGTAGAATAGAGATAATACACTGCAAGTCCAAGTATGTAAGTCTAAATTTTTACACGTTTGATCTGTGTTTTACACAGTTAAATGCATATTTTTTTACACGCTTACACATATTATTGTCAAATTAAGCGTGTAAAAATATGCAATCAACTGTGTAAAACACAGATCAAATGTGTAAAAATATAACACGCGTATAAATGCGTAAAAAGTGACTACAGATTTATACACTTGGATTTGGAGTGTATAATACACACAAATATACATACAATATAATCCAAAAATACTTATTTCGAGACAACCTTTCGCCTACGTCTTCCGTTAAAAGAATATTCTCATTTACTTCTTTTTATTTATAATAATAATAGTCTGTCCGCTAAATCTAACTATCCGTTAAAGCAGGATTATCTCACTGCGACGTCAGCACGTAAAAACCAAATTACTTTTCGAGAAATCGGGATTGAAAGGGACGTCTTTCTCCGTGCTATCTGCTACAAATTATACCTTCCTTAACGCCGAGCGGCTCTTGACGTCAGAGATACAACTCGGCTGAAGTCTCTGACGCGAGAGTGGCCCAATATGACTCGCGACACATTCCCGGAAAGTCCCGGCGATTACGCCGAGCCGATCTAACGAGGTAGCCATGACGACGGCACAGTGCATCGGGAAGAAAAGTACATTCGTTTCGACTTCTTTCGATGCGCAAGGAGCGCGGCAATAAAACATAAAAGAGGAAAAAGAGCGAAGAAGACGGCGGCACGCGCGCGGCAGGTTAAAGAGGGAAATCCGACAGAACGAGAGTCCTCGGGGAGAGGAGCTACTCTCATGAGCGACTTTCATCCCTCTTTTTTGCTCTTCGGGCAGAGGGAAGTGACTTTCCTCGAGTACACGCCGTTTCTTACTTTCTTCGCGTTTTCATGCCGAGCCGCTTCGAGATTATTATCGACTCATGTTCCTGCGTATCAAGCGAATTAACATTTTCCGCCAGAGGGGATTTCCCGATCAATCCTACTACAATAAAATCTTCAATCATTGGAAAATTATACGATCAGTTCTCGTACGTTGTTTATGGCGTTGTCCCGTCTATTTAGCTTAATTGCGATTTAATATTCATTAATAAATATATATAAGTATATGTAAATGTAAGACAATAAAAAACAATAAAACAATTTATTCAAGCATAACAAAATTTTCTGATTACGTTTGCAAATATAAATTTGCATTTAAGATGACATTTTGCAGTTTTGAGGTAGGTTGCAAATAGAATTTGTAAAAATAACAAAAGATATTACTTTAAGCAATATTTTAGTAACTTTGTCATAAAATTCAAATATTTATAAATATACATATAACGTAGGTATATAAAATTTTATATATCTATTATTATTATCTAGTATATTATATCTGTAAAATGTAACAGTAATAACAATTAAAAGAATGCGTAATAAATATGTAGAAATTTCCGGTTGTTAAATTGAATAGATAATAGAGCCTCTCTGAACTATGGAAACTATTTCAAAATTTCAGTTTTACATTTCCGGTATATTTGTAACTTTACACGAAAAATGTGTTATTGTTCCAAATCTTAATACGAAGATTATTATCTTGACTACATATTTCTATATATTACATGTCTATGTATATGTATATATTCTTCTTCGCGTGCCATACACTTGTCGGAGCGTGTGGCAATCTCTTCACCATATATTCGTAGATATATGAGATTTACAATATTAACGCCGTTCCGAACGGCCTATTAAAAAAGATATTCCTGGGCAAAGTTACTCTCAGTGATTTGCCTTTGTCTTCCGAGAGGTGGCGATCGCTTTTTAAATCGATTAAAATCAATTTAAAGTTATATTTTGTTCTGGGTGGATTCGAAACCTCTGGATCTTTAGCAGAAAGCCGACGCACAGCTCTCGCGTTTCACGATCGCCACATATGTATATATAGAGTTTGAAAAAATCTATTGCGTGGACAATTATTTTCGATTCAAATGCAATTATGTAATAAACGCAAATTATATAATAAATATCCTAAACAATTTCATAATAGTGTCATACACTGTTAAATCTATAGTGTCAAATTTAACCTTAGTTCAGTCGTCACTGCTCCTTAATAAATAGTTATTTTTAACTAAAATAATATGGTTATTTTTAAATAAAACAATGGAATTTAACCCAAATTTGGGTTAAATTTGAACTGTTTTAAATTATTTAACCCCACTGGTTTAGTTAAAAATAACTATTTAGTTATAACTATTAAGTATTATAACTATTAAAAATAACTATTAAGTTATAAGTAGGAGCAGTGGCGACTTAACTAAGGTTAAATTTGACACTAGATTTAACAGTGTAAATGTTCATTTACACGCGCGTGTTAATGTGCAAATTTGTGAGTATTTAGATGATTGTGCGTCTTCTCTCACAAGATCGATAATCCCATAAAATTCCTCTCATAATTATTAGAATTATATCAGAAAGAAGAAACGGAGCCCACAATAATATGTCCTTTCATCGATCAAAACTAATTTTTGTATAACTGTAAAAAAAATAATGAAACAAAAGAACGATGCATATAGAATTCAACAATATCGAATCGAGGCTTTCTTTTATATTGAATTTTCCATGAAGGAATAACCTTCGTTTACCAATATTGCGAAAGAACAGATGTTTCGCGTTTCTACAAGGTTCCTTTCTAGATCAAATTGCCCAAGATCTCGTGTCGGCAACACCAAGCGTGCGTAAAGCGACAGTCGGGACTGAAAACTAGGATTGCGCTTATCTGGAATAATTCGATTTACCGCCTGAATGCTTCCTTGATTTCGCACTCGTAATGAAATTATAAGTGATGTCGCTTTAAACGGCTGCAGCGTCCTAATTTTACCTCGCAGGACGTCCCTGTGCCTCTCGCTCAATTTCGCGATATCGTCTCCCTAACGCAATGATGCCGTTGCCTTGACATCGACAACGTTAATTGAGAAGCATAAAATGGGTTTCACAACAGCTCACTTGCAACAACGAACTGACAGATCTGCTATCAAACAAAACGACGTGTTAAGATTTGGACACAATAACACGTTTTTCGCGTTAAAGTTACAAATAATGCCGGAAACGTAAAACTGAAATTTTAAAATAGCTATTCCACAGTTCAGAGAGGCTCTATTATCTATTCAATTAACAACCGGTAATTAGTCACGACGTCGAACAAGCGGACGCACACGGACGGGGCAGGTAAAACTAAATTGCACTTGCTGTCACGGGCAGCGCAAAAATTATAACGCGTCCGGCCACTTATACGACCGCCGCTAACCGAGTGACCAGATGATATCGATCTGCACGTATCCGTTATCGATCTTCGACCGTGGTATTTACGACGAGGCGAGCGAATCTCGACGTGCGAGTGCGACATGATCCCGATTGGTCGGACAGCATCTCCGGTGAACGACAAAGAGGTGGGGAGTTACATAAAGCGCGGCACGACGCGGATGGAGCGGCAATTCGTCGTGGAGCACCGGTCGCGTTGCAGCACTCAACCAGCTCGCGGAATCGTCACCGACACGTGGATATCGTCGCTGTCAAAAAGGATTGCACAGTGAATCGCCAGAGGTTCGTGCATTGCTTCAAACGTGAGTCGAATATCAATTCAATCTTCATCTGCGAAATTTATTTGTATTTCCGTTTTTTTTGTTCAAAGTATTTCTTACATTTTAGAGACGAATAGAATTTTAATCGCTGTTGCAGATATGTTTGTAGTATTTAAGATAATTTTTGGGAGCTAGTGAAAGGAAAATTTGTTGGCTAAATAAATCGTCGTGTCGTCATATTTTCAATTTTCATGCTGCTGTATTTAAGTAACAAACTGCAGCAATTTGTGATGTATATTACTATAAAAAAACGTAATTTCTATTAATATTAAAAGTTAATTTTAAAAAATCGATAGAATAGACGTAGAAGTTTCTATTCTACAGTTGCAAAACGTAATAACTGCAACTGCAGTATGTATAACTGCAATAATTTATAATAAAATTTCTTTATACAAAAGATTGATTCTTAATGTAAGATAAAGTAGGTACATATTTTAGCCTGTTAGATGAAAGATCGAGTGACTTGGAGACCAAGATTGTTTAGGATTTCGAAGGTCCCATAATTGACGTCAAGGAGTGAACTTTAATAGCGCTTGTTAGCCTCTAAACGCGCACAGAGTGTCCAAAACTAATTATTAAGCTTTCGCTTCGTTACGGCTTTCGTCCCGACATAGTCCGATCGAAAAGCTCGCTGATCGCATTAGCTCGTTAAATTAATCTGTCACGCTTTTCAAACACAATGATTAAATTTCGGAGGAAAAAATCGAATGAGTATTTTAAGATTATATCTAATAATTGCGAGAGCTATTTTTAGCGCGTCATTATTGGCGTATTAATAGGAATTGCCGTGCTGAATAATTGTACAAATAAGAGTAACGTTTTCGACGCGTGCTATATTTAAGAGCCACATATAAATTTAGCGCGAGTACATTTCGATTGGTTTCATTCACTTCCCACAGTGCACTTGCACAAGATTTTCTTTTTTATCATTTTTGAGATTTTCATTATCGCTTTGATCAGTATCACGGAGAAAACACATCAACCGAGAGATCAATAATCGCTAGATAAACTAATTGTATGTAACATTATCTCAACATGACGATAAGTTAACGCTATCTTTCCCTTATCAGAAATTATTGCTAATATTATATGCAGTTTGATGTCATCTCGTCAATCAAACTTTCTCTGTGACGACAATATTTATGTGTACCAATAATTAATTCCTAAAAAAAATTAAATAATACATTAAATACTTAAATATTTGTTTAAAAAGTGAGTGTTAAAAGGCGATGTCTAGCTTGACATTTGGCTTCAATATCTCGCTAAACTGTCTTTGGAATTTAAAGAAACAGCGATTGGTTTTGATTATGGTAGATATTTCACATTACGAAATACAGATGCTTCTATAATGCAATATCAATCTTTGAATATCTAAATGAATTAAGTTTTAAATACATGACGCGAGATATATAAGTTAATCACTAAAAAAAAGATATTTTCTTTAGTAAAATACGATCGAATTAAAAATCATAAACGTATGTCAATTGTCGCTGTGTGTAAAATTATCTCGCGAGAATTATTCTATCTAGCGAAACGTCGCGTCGTCGATTCAAATATATTGCGATGGCTTTACGATAACCCGAGTACAAACAGCTTGATAATTTTGTAATTCCTTCTAATTACTGACGCGGAAAGCGCGCGCTTATACTTTTCTTTCAAGAAAACATTCGCTGATATCAGAATATTTCTAGCGATCAGGGACTCCCGTCAAAGGGGATTCCCTGACCACCGCGCGGAATTTCCTCTATCGCGTGGAGTCATTCGTTTCTTTACGTTTGTCATTCGTTTTCTTCTTCCTCATGTGTTTCGAAAGCAATTGATTATTATCTTTTAAATCGAGTATCCTCGTAACGAATGCAACAATATTATTCTTTCGTATTTTATTTTTCCCATGTCTATAGTTAATATTCTTGATGAGCAAACTCTTAATTAACAAGTTTAATTTTACTAATTCGGGATTTGGGAAAGAGAAGTCAAGTAGAAGATATTTTAATCTCGTATAAATGTAAATAGCACGTCCTCCTAATAAATTATTCCATATTTTCAAATATCTCCTTCGCGGTAATAATATTCTTTTGCAAAGTAGTTCAACGACGACAATGGAAGAATAATAATATGTTGACTCTTACTCTCTTTTTCATATCAATCATCAAGATATTTACCGTTTGTAATTAAAGTAACGTTCAACATTCCGGAACGAGAGCAATGTTATTCTGTGACGTATAAATCTGCATAGATATCTTATTGGTATGTACATGCAAATCGCGCGATGGCATCGCTTAGGAACTGATTATTAAAATTCAACTTCCTTCTACCGTGAGCAACATTTCATAAACAAAAAAAAATCACATTGCAATCATCGTATTGCGCGAGTAGGTACGTCATAGAGCGAGTGGGTAAAAGACCGTAGCAGACAAAATCGCGCGCTTCGACGGGCGGCGGCAAGCGCGGCGACTCGAACGAAACCAGCTCCATGAAAATGAGTCATGGTCATTATAAACTCGCGAGTTCACTCTTACTTCTCTACGCGAAGGCGATTTTACCGATCGTCGCGACCGCTCTTTCGATCTCGTTGTCCTTCTCCCACCGCTCTCGCGATCTCTCGCGAGTGGACATTCTATCTGGTAACATAGACACATATATGAATCTCCCTCACCTGCCGAGTTTCTCAAGACCCACGTCACTGGCTCTACGTCAATTGCCGATGCCTATTAAACATTTCGCTCGAAAGGCCAAACGTATTTACTACCGTACATACGCATTTTCGTCATAAATTTTTTCTTGGAAAAAGGGTATAGAAAGTAGGATGTTCGAATTGACGCAAGTAGCGACGTTATCCTTTTTAAGTTACGCGGTAATCTGAGATATCAACTTCTTTGTTAAAACAAATAATAAAACGTTATGTATAAAACAAAACAAAAGAAGCTACAGATCTATTTTTTTTTTTCCTAAAAGCAGTACTATTATTAGATTCACCAAGAATTAATAAAACTGCTAATCATTTACAAAATAATGTACTGTATTATTTAACAGTTAACGAAAGAAACTATGTTAAAAAATATTGTCATCTTTACATTAATGATAACGTTCATATTTCTTATCTCGTCTTCGACCGATATAAATTATTAAAAGGTAATAAATTATTAAGATAATTTTAACCCCATTCCACTTATTAAAATTATATTAAGTCTAGCATATGCTTATGCAACTTCTTGATAGTATCATCCTCATGCAATTTCCGCGCTTTAACTCCTTTACCTGTTTTAATGCACCACTCGTCGTAGTGTCACTTTCTCTTTTTATCTGAAATCGTTGTTTTTATTAACACACATCCTTGAAAAGCCTAGCAAAACAACTTCAACCGTTTCACACGCTTTCTATAAATTGTCACGGTCATCTCGATAACAAGATAGATGATTTGCATCGATTCTTAGTCCTTACAATCAATTTGCATCGATTCTCGTCACGTAACATGCGGAAATGCGATCGCTATAATTTTCTATTAGATGTAGTTTTCGATAAACGCTCGGGCTTAAAAAAAAAATAAACAAGAATGGCACGTGTGACATTCGTACATTATTTCAAAGCGCTCGTGCTTATTGACATGCCAAGGATACTGGAGAACCGCACCTACTCCACTTACGTTGCTGCACAACAGCATTAATCGAATGGATTTGTTTAATGTATTGTTACATCTCCGTAATAATCCTCTTTCAATATTATAGGTTGAAGAAGACAAATCATGGATGCCGATAGCTTCAAGGATTACGCCAAGGAGATGGCGGAGTACATCGCAAATTATTTAGAAAATATTAGAGAAAGGTAAAAAAAAAGTGATAAAACGTCGTAAAATCAAGAAATTGCTTGATGATGAATCTGTATATTAAATATATACTGTTAAATCTATTGTGTCAAATTGAACATTATTTAAGTCGCCACTGCTCCTCCTTAATAAATAGTTATTTTTAACTAAAACGATATAATTACTTTTAAATAAAACAATAGAATTTAACCCTTTGGGTTAAATTTGAATTGTTTTAAATTATTTAACTCCATTGTTTCAGTAAAAAATAACTATTTATTAAGGAGCAGTGGCGACTTAAATAAGGTTCAGTTTAAAACTATAGATTTAACAGTGTATAATACTCTATTATATGTTTTGTATCTTTCATACAAATATCTCATGTATAGAAATTTCAAAAATTTCCAGGAGAGTCTTGCCTACGGTGGAGCCAGGATACTTGAAACCCCTCTTGCCAACCGAAGCACCACAAACTCCGGAACAATGGCAGGATATAATGGCCGATATCGAAAGAGTAATAATGCCGGGCGTAAGTGATTTCTAAATGCCACAAACTATCGTAAAATGATAGATCTATTAAAAGATTGTAGTAACGACTGACTCGCACGCGTAACCGCAAAAAGAAATATAACGATACTAAAATAAAAAAAACTGGAGTATCTTATCGTCGGTATCTTCGATTTCGTCATAAGTAATTAAGAAATAAATTAAAATTTTTTAGGTCACTCATTGGCACAGTCCAAAATTCCACGCATACTTTCCCACTGCGCAATCGTATCCCTCGATTCTGGCCGATATGTTAAGCGGAGCTATCGCGTGCATTGGATTCACGTGGGTAAGTATAAAAAAAACTTGCAGTTGAAAAATGCAAATGCTTTATTAATTTCAAATAATTAAATTATCATAAGCTTCACGCTTTTTCACGCTTTGGAATCTTGATGCGTCATTTAACGTTTTGTAGTATAGTATAAGATTTTTGTTTATATCTTTAACAATAATAAAAGCTTTCCTGTGTGACAGATAGATAAAAGTCGAAATAATATTAACAATAATAAAATCATTTTTTTAAATAAAATATGTTGCTAATTTTGTGAAAAATTGAAAATGATATAAAGCGAGAAAATATATCGTGCGCTAAGATTAGAACATTGAAAATATTCTTTTATACACTTTTGATACTAAATCTAAATCTAAATCTAAATTCTAGATCGCGAGTCCCGCCTGTACGGAATTAGAAGTAATCGTACTGGATTGGCTAGGAAAAATGTTAAACTTGCCGAAAGAATTTCTTGCCTGCAGCGGTGGGAAAGGCGGTGGCGTCATTCAGGTAAACGACATTTTTTACAAATAGCGTTACATTTATAAAAAAATACCTGGATATCTGGATAAGAGATAGTCAGAAATGATTGACATTCTTGAAGACAAAGAAGGTCTTAACCATTGTTTAAAGTATAATTTTCACCTACAGGGCACTGCTAGCGAAGCCACTTTGGTAGCGTTACTAGGCGCGAAGGCCAAGAAGATAAAGCAAGTTAAAGAGCAGCATCCCGATTGGACGGAAAACGAAATCGTCAGCAAACTAGTCGCATACTGTTCCTGTGAGTATACTACAATCATTTTGCTACAATATCTGACACTGATATGCGAAAACTTACAAGAAATCAGCGAAATCTTGGTCAAGTAATGAAATAACTCTTATAATATCAAACAATTTCTCCAACCAAAAACGAATTTATACGCTACATTCAGAGTATCGAATTACATAAAGTGTTCTTCATCAATCAGTTCTTGTCTATCTTTATCAAGAGTAAAGAAGCAGCGTACAACAATGAGCGTCAAGTGTGACGTACGGTTCAATGACTTTAAATAAACACTTGAACTATGACATGTATCTCGATGAGTGTTAAATGAGCTATAACAATCAGACGCAGTTAAGCTTTATAAAGAAATAAAGACACAATTAAAAATAAAAGAATGTTTAAATTTTAAAAATATTGTTACGATAATTGTTTATAAATATATATAAATTAATTTATAATACCTATATTATTCATATATAAAATATTTTAATTTATTATTAGGTTTTTAAATATATGTAATTATTATAACGAACGAAAAGTATTATATAAAATGAATAACTTTATAACAGTATTATTTCAAAAAAATTTGATTATTAAAAAAATATTTAATGTAGCATTGGTATAAAAAAAATTCACTTTATTAGAATAAAACAAAAATAATAAATGCATTAATTTATTTGCGAAGATATTTGTTCCGGCCACCAATAGATTGTAACTTTTCAATGTATTATACAATCGCGCAATTAAAGGTTTGAATTATAATCGCAATGTATTACTAATTTGATAGCAATTTTTTATTCGTATTCATTGCATTACCTCGGGGCGCATAGATATAATGCTGAAAAGTGTCCGGTCGCTTTCAGTGACCGAGCGCAATCACTGCGAAGGCATGTGAATAGAGGGGTTGAGAGGGATGGAGTGCGATAGGGTGAGTATGGGGGTTCACGGCACTTCATCAAGCAGCACTTTGTCGCCATGGCAACTCGTAATAACCGCTCCAGTTATATTTCAGGCCGAACTTTCTCTGCTATTCTCAACGCTCATAATATTTTCGCGTTTCATTGAAATGAAAAGGTGAAAAAAAAATTTTCCAGAATTCTTCTAGTATTATCCGCTACGAACAATAGTCACAATGTTTTTTCGATTAGAAATTTCGAGCGGAACGATATTATCAACGAGCCGCTATTGTTCTAAAAGAATGGGAAATTTTTTACGTCTTTTTTGCGTAATAACGGCGATTGAAGATAAAACCGATAATTTCGTCGGTATCCACAAGAGAGCTTCTATTCTTCAAACATTCTATGAGACATTACGTGTCTTGTTGAAAAACAATATATAAAAAATAAAGATGTTTGTTTAAATTAGTAGGCACACCTTACAATAAATTTTACAAATACAAGTTATAGTTTCAAATAAACATTAAATATATAAATATCGATTATATATACATAAATTGTATAATAGGTAATGATGTAATGATTGAAGAATATGTGTTCTTCAACATACACGTTTCAAAGCAATATTATATACGGAAAGAACGATTTTGTTGAAAGATCTAAAAATTTTGCTAAATACAGATCTGAAAATAATTTTTGTTTAATAATCAAAATAATTTGTTGGAAAGTTAAAAATAATAGGCGTTGCTAAAAAACATTTTGATATTCTAGCAATCGTTTTGACTTTCCAACAAAATTATTTTGATTATTGAACAAAAATTATTTTCTAGATCCAGCAAAATTGTTCTTTCCGTGTATATTTCTGGAAAATCAAATAATTATAATAAAGTAATCGCAAAAAATACATGACCAAATTGGATTTTTTTTTTTAGGCCAAGCACATAGTTCGGTTGAACGCGCTGGGCTTCTCGGTGGAGTGAAATTCAGACAGTTGGAGGTCGATGAAAAATACAGGCTGCGCGGCGATACGTTTGCCGAGGCAATCACAAAGGATAAGGAGCAAGGATTTATACCGTTTTACGTAAGTCCAGTTTAAACGATATTCCTCTATCAATCAAATGCATCATTTCCATTTTTCATTTCTTTAAAGAAGAATGAAACCGCAGAAAAGAAATTCAATACACCATGTAAATATGTGAGATAATATTAAATAAATATTTGTGTATAACAAAATAATATGCCAAAAAAAATCTTTCGAGAAATTTCATGATGCAATATATTTGTTATAACATCAATGAGAAATGAGAGAAACTAATTTTAATTAGAATAAATAAATAAATTATTAAAAAGTCAGTATACTTTAGACATTATAATATAAATTGATTTCTTATCATAGGCCGTCGCTACTTTGGGTACTACTGTTAGTTGCGCCTTTGATCGTCTCGATGAAATGGGCATTGTGGCAAATCGTGAAGACATCTGGTTGCATGTGGACGCTGCTTATGCTGGTATAAATTCTCTTATTTTGCAAAAAAAGTAATAAAACTTTTAAGCATTTATCCATAAAACAAATTCCTTTGATTGCAGGATCCGCTTTTATGTGCCCGGAATTTAGATATTTAATGAAAGGCATCGACATGGCAGATTCGTTCAATTTCAACCCGCACAAATGGATGTTAGTTAATTTCGACTGCTCTGCCATGTGGCTCAAGAATCCGACATACGTTATAAACGCTTTCAATGTCGATCCTTTGTACCTGAAGCACGATATGCAGGGCTCAGCACCGGATTATAGGGTAGCTGTATAAAAATTATGCTCTATTAAGAGTTTATTGAAATTTTTCATTAAATTGCTATTGTGTCGAATTTTTGCAATTTAAATAATAATTTGTAAATAATCTCGCTAATCGATCCGAGTGTACTTCGTTACAGCACTGGCAGATTCCACTCGGGCGCAGATTCCGATCTCTGAAACTTTGGTTCGTACTGAGACTCTATGGAGTCGAGAACCTTCAAAAGCATATCAGATCGCATGTCGCTCAAGCACACGAATTCGAGGCACTAGTCCTCACCGATCCTCGCTTCGAAATCGTGGGCGAAGTTCTCATGGGACTGGTCTGCTTCCGACTGAAGGTAAGCCGAATACACTCGCAAGCATATTTGCAAAAGAGCCTTTTTTGACAAATATACGTATATATATTCAATATCACATTCATTTAAAAAAGATATTCATAATTTTTGTTAAGTTTGAAATTAATGGAAGAACATCTAATTGAAAACGATTAATTGAGCGACGATAAAAAATAATCACGCGCATCATTTTTGTAAGAGCATAAAGGAAACAGCAGAACTAATTTCATAATGATTTATAGGGATCCAACGAATTGAATGAAGCTCTGTTAAAGAGAATCAACGGCGCAGGAAATATCCATCTCGTCCCGTCGAAAATAAAGGACACGTACTTCCTGCGACTCGCTGTCTGCTCTCGATTCAGCGAGAGCAAGGATATACAGTATTCCTGGAAGGAGATCAAGCTGAGAGCCAGCGAGATCCTCGAAGAGCAATCGATCTCGAAGTGATGGCGCGCTCAGATAGCTCGCGGTTGCAGGTCGTTGGCGCCTGCCACTTGCAACCAATCTTAGTTTCAAGTATTTCCTGTTGCACCCAGCGGCTCTTGCGAGGACCAAATAGGCTAAAGCGGCGAGTGATTATGGGCGATCAGACAATTGTGTGGGACCCAAAATTATGATTTTTGCAAAAATTTTTGTACTACGAGCGATTAAATAATATTTCAAGAATGCAGATCTTTGTTTGCCGATAATGTTTAATGCATTCCAATTTGGCAGACATTATGACTTCATTAATCAGAGATTCATTGAAAATTAACAAGTTACACAACGAATAATAGCTGATAAAATGATTAAATCAATTTTTTATCATTGCATGATAAAAAAGAATTTAAATTTGACATAATTTATATATATACGAATATATATACGAAATATATGAATAATATATTTCAATGCTTCGTGTGAGCAAGTTACTTTAATAAAGTATTATATTGTATGCTGATGTAATTTAATAATTTACAAAACGGAAAAAATTATTAAAAACTTCGCAATCTCTCAAACAGTTATATTCTCTACAAATTTTAGTTTTTTCTATCTATATATATTCACGTTTACATTTCATTAAGCAACGAATATAAATATTCTATTATTATAAATATATATAGCTGTGGAATTATATATATCATTAAAGTTATATTCCACTAAGTGTTCAACGTGAATATAATATGAAAACGTTGCCTTAAGTTGAATGCGTGATACTTGTTATACTGTTACTTATGCACATGTTATTATGCGATTTATATATATTACATTTATACACCACCGAATGTGTAATGTAAAAAGATAATTTATTATGTAACGAGTTGAAGTTGCACTGGGCACAAAGTTTTGGTATGCGGGTGTCACACACATGGTGCAAAACTCAATATATAATACATTATAAATGTTACAAAACGCGATATGCGTGTATAAATTTATTTGTTTTATCGCGAGTAAAACGATAATTTAATTTACATAAAGAGTTCCATGCGCGTTTTTAAAAACTGCTGTATACTTAAGGAATCGGTTGTGTAGCCTGCTGGGATTCGTGTTAACAAACATAATAGGTGTAATGCAATATTACGTGTCTCCTTGTGCCACTTTTGCTGACGCACTATCAATGTTACTGTACGAACTCCTTAGGCAACATCCTTGTACACATTACGTAGTGAAAGTCCGCGCGTTGATATAAGCGCAATTTTTGTCATGAATATATTAAAAACGCGTGAAATATTGTTCGAATCATGTATCTCACGAGATAAGAACGAGATGCTTATTATTTTGCAGGTGTAACGAATTATGTGCGCATAATATTATATTATTATATTATTATAATATATTATTATATTATATTATATTATATTATATTATATTATATTATTATAATATAATATAATATTATATTAGATATTATCTGCGCGTGAAATTATTTAATCCATTAATCAATACGCTCGAGAAAGAATTAAGATACGCATTTCGGTGGAAAATTCAGATTCGCAAATTACTTTCCGCCGCGAAAATTAAATAATTAGGTCGTATTTCTCTCCCTTCGCGTATTGATTAATGGATTAAATAATTTCATAATATAATATCATTATATTAGATATTACTTTCTGCCGTTAAAATATAATAATAATAAAATTATATAATATTATATATATTAGATATTATCTGCGCGTGAAATTATTTAATCCATTAATCAATACGCGAAGGGAGAGAAATACGACCTAATTATTTAATTTTCACGGCGGAAAGTAATTTGCGAATCTGAATTTCCCACCGAAATGCGTATCTTAATTCTTATAATAATATAATATAATATAATATTATATTAGATATTATCTGCGCGTGAAATTATTTAATCCATTAATCAATACGCGAAGGGAGTGAAATACGACCTAATTATTTAATTTTCACGGCGGAAAGTAATTTGCGAATCTGAATTTCCCACCGAAATGCGTATCGTAATTTTTTCTCGAGAGTCTACGAGGAATTAATAAATATCATTTTATGATCCCTCGCTATTATGAATCTTCGTGTACGTTGAAATTGTATGTAGATAGGATATTATAAACATGTTATGTATATAGATATATATGTTAAATATAAATGATTATATAAACGTGTTAGAGAAAGTTGTAAAATCAACGTATGTAACACATCTTTGTCTTTGTCTCTTTATATATTTTTTTGTACCTTAGATTTTCTCCAAAATTTACTTTAAATTTCATTGCAAACATTTTCAAGTCACTACATACGTATATGTCATTGAAACAGCTGTGAAGATAATTTGTAATATTGTAATAATGATGAAGTGATTTGAACAATTACCATAATGTATGTATATATGTGCGCATTAATACTTGCTGTAACGTTGTGCTGCAACAGAGACAATAATAGTAATAGAATCAATCAACAAGACACAGCATCTGTCGAAAGAGTTGAAACATTCGAACATCAGATATCGACATAAAAGAGGATGTAAATTTAAATAATTATTAAGATTATTGCTACATTATTGCCATTACGTTTACAAACAAACGGAGATAAGAATATAAAAGTAATCAATAACAACAATTAAAAATACAGACGTCCAAATATTTTTGAAGTTATTAAGTTATAACAAGATATCATACATACCAAGCAACTAACTGTTAAGCAATAATTTTATTATAGCTCAAAGATTTTATTAAAATACAATTTTAACAATTTTAAAAAAAAGGTAAAGCATTATTCTGCAGCAACAGTTCCAGTCGTTGTGAAACCAACGGATGATTGGCTATAAATAAAGTGATTGTATTTTCGTTACGTATTGTTCGTTAAAAGTACGGCAAAATGTATTATTAAACATATGTTGATGTGACATCATCGAGATTTCAACTATTAAACTGTTAACGTCGACCAAATTAAATGAATAAATATATAGCGAATCGCTCTTCATCTCTCGTTCACTGATATCCTCATCTTATTAAAAATTTTTTTATCAAATTACTAATATCTGCAAAACAACGGTTTAAGTACGTACAAAACAGAATAAAATTACATACATTTATTTTTTTAATGTATGCTTTTTATATATCTGTTAGCTAGATTTATTTGAATTTATCAAAGATAATAAAAAATTGTTGACGTTACCGTTCACCGGAGATGTAATTTATATTCCACATAACGAAAATATTCGTTATGTAAACTATAATTAAAATAATTATAAATTATCGTTTAATATAAATCGACAAACAAAATAAAGAATAAATTATTTCAATATAAAAATATTGTTTGAACGCAAAGGTATCTTATAAAGCAAAAACAAAGAAATTTGTAGTTCTGTTTAAATTAAATATAAAATTACGTTTTAAGCTATTTATAAATATACATATACTTCTGATAAGAAATATGTATCTTCGAGTTATAAATAAAGGCAAAATGCGTTTCTTGCGTTCACCATCAGAGAGCATTATGTGTCAGTTCTCAGTTCTGAGATTTTCTACAGGAACCTTTTCTATCGATGCAAGAGAGTATGTGACACACTCTCTTCTGTCGACTAAAATAATTTCTAAATTATCGAAATAGGAAAGCATCAATAATGTAATCAGAAATATATCGGGAATAAACTTTACGTTATTAATAAATAATAGAAGGTATTTAAAAATAAAAATAAAAATAAATAAATATTATTAAGGATATACTTTAATAATATTATTAAAGTTATTTAATTAAAAATATACACGGAGAGAATTTTCTTTTAAAATTTACCCTGAAAATCATGTTAATTGTGGGACAATATAGTATTTAGGCAAATTTTACTGTGTACTACAATAAATTTTACTGCGAAATCCTATTGTAGTGCACAGTAAAATTTGCCTAAATACTATATGTATTGTCCCATAATTAACATGATTTGCAGGGTAAATTTAAAAAAAAATTCTCTCCGTGTACATGTTAAAAATAAAATTTCTCTTTAATTATTTTCTATAAATAGATACGTTTCAATAATAGAAGCGTGATAAAAATAGAATTTATATCAATATAAAATATGAAAGTAAAGTAAATAAAAATATATTGATACAAACATTAAAAAATATATAGATACGTTTATTAAGAATAAATCTTAATAATGCGCTAAATACGTTTCTCAAATTAATCTTGAATTGATTGCCATATGTCTTCTTGTTAACTAATCGCTCATTTTACTAGGACTGTGTTCCAAATCTCACCGCCAGCACTGAAAATCTATGTATAATTTACGTTACGTGCACTATAGATTTTCAGCACTGGCAATGAATTTTGGAACACTGCTTAGATAATATCGAAAAACATCAAATTCATTAACAAAATTACATTACAACTTTTCATTCTTTATCTTATCACAGTTATTCGTCGATAAAATTAATGAAGCATTAACTTAGTAATTGCTTTAAATCAACTTGTTAGCATTTAGTCCAAGGCGATTGCTAATTTGTCTGAATCAAGGAAATAATTAGGTGTTAAGAAAATATTTGAGTGCTGGAATAGCAGCGATCATCGGTACTTAACAAGCAAAAACAAAAACGTATATATAAACGAGAAACAGCAGTAGGATTAACGACCGTAACGTGATATTCCTTCTTTTCGTACGACAAACAGTAGATACCAAGAGAAAGATTCACTCAAGAGATGCGACTATACGAGCCACGAGGAAATGACAGGCGAAAGCTAGAGCTACCCGATAGCGATTTATATAGCTTCGAGATATTTCACTCTTATAATATGACATGGTGATAATAAACCGCTCTTGCAAGTCAACTCCATCTCGCGCGCGTTTCCTAATGTATTCATAGAATTTTTCGAATGATTTCACTACCCCGTTGAAGCTGTTGGAGGGCTTATTAGAACGCTCCATCTGCTTTCGCAATTGATTCACAATGACATTTCGCAAGTATATATAATAACGCGCTGTACGAGGTGAAAATTATATATTAAACTTTATATTTTATTAACGTTTTTATTGTTCTTTTACATTATCGTTTTTATTCGTATACGGTTGTCCTGTCAGAAAGAAAACTTGCGCCCCGGCAGCGTGCGATTAACACATTAAATTACATTAAAATTACAGCACATCGTAAATCACGATAATATTACACGATAGTCTACACGAGAATCTGTTTTAACGCGCCGCCCGTAGCTCGGGGAGGCTGTGGAAGTGAGAAGCCTCCTCGGGATACCGGGATCTGTCGGCTGACACCCGATATACGTCTGGCCCTCCCCATTATTATTCCTAACGTGAGGCAGCTATTAGACGCCTACTGGACAATCGACGGCGAGAATGACGTTGTAACTAGAGTACAGTACCGCGAGGTGTATCAGCGAACGAAACGAGAAGAACTGCTGTTCTTCCCGCGGCGGTCGTTGAGCCAGTCAGCGGAATCGTGGATCGGCTAACAGGAAGAAAAAGAAGAAATGAACGAGAAAACGTTTCGAACGAGAAATCCCTTCGTTTCGATAAAATACATAGTTCACATTATATTTCTGTGAACTAACTCGATTACGAAGATACCGTTCCAGGTATCTTTCTCCATTGAAAAACTTTTCGCGGAATTCATATGTTAGAAAAAATATGTCAATCAAATGATATGCCAATCAAAATTATATTTTAATTCTAGAAGAGACATAATGAGAAATAATTATAGACAGGAAACAGAAAGAAGAAACGAAAGAGAAAGTCTTTTTTTAAATAAAATTCCTTAATCCATTAAAAACCCCTTCTGTTTCCTTTGTCTGCAATTATTAATATATCTCAAGGTTTTTAAAATTC